TGCTGACTCCTCTCTGCTTCTCTCTCCCCCCCCTCCACCCACAGTTTGCAAAACCAGAGTGGCTCACGGCACCAACTCCCACGAGGTGAGTGGAAAGTTTGACCACCTGACAGTCTCTCTGGGCCCCGCTGAGTCCGCTCCATCCACCCCTGCTCCTCCCCCGCCCTGTTCTGGTAGCTTTGTCTGTCTGCAGCCTCCCCAGGTGCCTGTCCTTGTCCCCAAGGGCCGGATGGCTGTGCAAGACGACACTTGAGCCCCTGCGGCAGCTCTCACACCCGTCTGCCCTGCCCTCGGCTTTCCATGTTTTGGCCCATCAGGGTCACACTCCCTCGTGGCTGCTCTGTGCCAGGCACTGGGCTGGGCCCCTCCTAGGACTGTGGATCGGAAAGATGCCCTCACTGCCGACAAGAATTGGCGATCCTGCTCATTTAGAAAGAAAATGAGCAGGGGAGGAGGAGAGGGTACCGTGCTGCTCCGTCTCATCCATTCCTTACTCACCCAGCAGTCATTCCCGACCCCACCTCGGCTGCCCGGGGAGGATGCTGAGGAGGGTAGCTGACCCAGAGTGGGCGACTGTCACTAAGCAGACAGCAGTGAGGGGTGGTGGGAGGCAAGTGAGAAGGCCCTTGGGGGCAGGAGGAGCAGACAGGGGCAGGGGCTCCCTGGGGTCTTTGTGGCCCACATGAGTGACGGATGGTGGCTGTGGAGGATAAGGGCGTCGCTGCGTGGGCTGCGTGGGCCCGGCACCAGGCGTGTTCGACGCACCTGCTGGTCCTCGCAGAGGGGAGAGGTTCAGACGGACCCTCAGGCACACGCAGTGCCTTCTGGGGAGGCTGTGTCACCCCTCAGCCCGGCAGTCCCCCAGCCCCGCCCCCCAGAGTGCTGTTTCAGGGAGGGCTCCTCTCCCACCCTCCCCCGGAGGAGGAGACACCAGGGGCTGGTGTGGGCTGTGGGCCCTGCTTCCTGGGAGGCTTTAGCATCAGAGCGCCCCCTCCAGTGGGGTGCCTGCCACAGCAGGAGCCTGGAGGCGGGCGGGGCAGGCTCCCCACCTCCTCCGGTGCCTGCGGTGTGAGAGCAGCGAGGACCCCCTGGCTGTGTCCGCTCACCCTCTGGAGGGCACTCGGTGCGCCTGGCTGGTGCTCACAGAACCATTTGGTTTGTGTGTTGTTTGTAAGCCGAGGCGAGCACACTGTTTGCTCCACAGTTTGGACTGTCCCTCACCCGTTTTTAAACCAAAGCTCAAAGCTCCTCCGGCCCCCAAGCCTGTCCCTGGGGGTTGATGCTACCAGACAGGTGAGGAAGTGGAGCTTAGATAGGGCAAGTCCCTGCCGTGCTTGTGCAGTGTGTGGCGCTGGGACGCGAACCCGCATCAGGCCCTCTTACCGCCTCACTCCCCTCGAAGGCTAAGGAGACAGTCACTGTCGAGCGTTTTGTCTCCCATGTGACCTGGGTCTCTACTCTCTCCCCGTCCGGCTGAGCCCGGGCACATTGGGCGGCGCTGACGTGGGGGCAGCAGGGGGGCAGGCAGCAGCTGTCAGGCTGGAGCCCTCCCAGCAGCCTCCTCTGGAGCCTGCAGGCTGAGGGAGCAGCTGCGGCCGGCACTCAGCTCTCGAGGGGGCCTGCAGGCAGCCTCCGCCAGAGCAGGGCATTTCTCTAGTGTCTGCCCTCCCTCCCTCAGTCCCCTCGCAGACCCTCCCGTCGGGACGGGGAGCAGCATGTGCCCGTCCGCGTGTAAGAGGACAAGGCCCTGGGCCGGGCAGTCCCAGTCACGTTCCAGCAAGCCCTGAGCTTCTCAAGGCTGCGGTTTCCTCATCTGTAAAGGGGCTGATGACGTGCCCAGCTCCGAGGGGCACGGTGCACACAGGCGTCTCACGTCATCGCCAGGACAGGGCCTGTCGTGGGTGCACAGTGAGAGGCAGCGCTCGTCATCGCAGGCTTTGACCCAGGCCTCCCAACTCCTGCTCCACAGTCGTCTGGTTTCTGCCTCTCCATCCCGGGCCATGTGCAGGGCCCTCCAAGGAAGTCATGAGGGTTGAGTAGCACACAGCCTGGGTCCGTTCCCTGCACTGCAGCGTGAACGGGGTTCACAGTGCAGCCAGCTCAGCCCCACATGGCAGGCCTGGTGTGTGGGGTTTCCAACCCAGGGGAGTGGATTGGTCCCAGTGTTCCTCTGAGCCCCGCTCCACTCACCCCGCTGAGAGTCCTGCCGAGTCATCAGGCTGGTGGCAGGGCCGGTGGCAGGCCAGTGGTGCACCGGCATCTGAGGCGGAGGGTGGTGCACTGAGGCCGTGGCCCTGTCTCCCCAGATGGCCATCGTGTTCAACCAGGAGGGCCTGAGCGCCGTCCAGCCGCCCTGCGTGGTCCAGAACTTCATCAACCACAACGCCGTCCTCTACAAGGTGTTCGTGGTCGGCGAGTCCTACACGGTGGTCCAGAGGCCCTCGCTCAAGAACTTCTCCGCGGGCATGTCAGGTAACCAAGCCTTCCGCCTTCCCAGCTCGCCCCGAGCCCGGCCGGCTGGACACAGCGTCGGTTGAGCACTTACCCCTGGCACCTGGGTTGTCTGGAGGGGAAGCGGTCATCTGGAGGGTAAACGAATTGTGTGCCGTAGTGAAGAGATCTTGGAAAAGAAGTGAAACCCCCGCCCCATCCATTCGAACCCCTGTAAACTCCAAAAAGCCCCCCACATTTTCTGTACCCAGGTTGCTTGGTGGGGACCCTGTGCCATGAGACGCAGGAGGAGCCTGCTGGAACGGATAATGGGCCCTTCAGGGAAGGGAAGGTGGAGGGGAGCGCTCCTGTTTTGAGGGCCCGACCACTGACTGGATCCCGTCTCCTTTTCCAAATGGGGAAACACCGAGCTGCTGGCTGCTCCTGCAGCCGCCGAGGCGAACGTGCGCCCCGTGAGAGGTCAGCACGCAGGGCCACAGGGCTCCCAGCTGGGGCCTGGGGCAGGCGGTGGGCATGACACCTTGCTGTGCCCCGCGGGTGAGGACTGAGTCAGTGACTGTGGTGGACCAGTGGGTGACGGTCCCACGTGTCCCTCGGGGGTCACAGCATTGGCGTCTGCAGGCCGCTGCCGTCCTTGGGGCAGCTGAGGAGCCCCAGGGAGGCTGGTGGCTCCATAAGCCCAGCTTTGCCTCTGCTGCTCCCCTGCCGCCTGCTGACCGGGCCGTTTCACAGACCGGCACTAGGATAAGGATTTGCTTGTGTTGGGGCTGCTCCCAGGAACGTCCTAGGGGCTCTGAAGGCATCCCCCGGGCACGTTCCGGAACCTGTTGGAACGGTGGCAGCATCTGTGGAGAGTGGCTTTCCGGGAGGACGTCGGTGGCCGGCGTGGTTTGCTCAGCTCTCTGTGCACTCAGCTCCGTGCGGGAAACCTGCCACTGGCTGGGATGTCCAGCTGCACTACCCTCTGCCCAGACAGATGGGCTCCTGAGACCTGCTGGGGCTACCTGTCAGTCCTCCCCGGGGCGCCGGCCACTCTCCTGAGTGAAGTTCAGCCGTTCTTGGCTTCCTCTCAGCCGTCTTGCCCTTAACACACCAGAGCAGACACTGGATTGTCCTCCCGAGTGCAGGCGGCCTCCCAGCCAGGCCTGGGCTCCAGGACTTGAGGCCCGTGTGAGGTTCAGGACACCCCCGTCCTCACCCTGGTCCCAGCCCCCACCCACTGGGATGGGATGACCTGGGGGTGGAGGACAGATGTCGGCAGGGGTCCTTTGGTGTGTGACTGTACACCTGCAAGGGGCATCCTTTTTATAATATATATAACATTTTTATTGATTTCAGAGAGGAA